CTGTACTGACCCAAGCTGATACAGTCCTACCTTTTGGAAGCAGGCACGGCTGGCTGGTTACCAGTGCTCTGATGATGTGGCCTGTCCACTTTGGAACTGTGCCACTAACTAAAAAGACGGTGAAGGAGGCCCGCTACCCTGCTGGTGTCTACATCCAGGCCTATGCACTTACCACGTCTTGCCATTGTTGGAGAAGAGAGTCGCACTGCACTCTGATGGTTTTGGCACCTGCCTTGCACACTTCAGATCTGGGAATATCCTGAACTGAAAGGCAGGGTGTTTGTTTGAACAGCTGTGAACCCCACTGCTGTAACCTACATTTCTTTGAGGCCAATACCCTGGATATCCATTAGCTTCCTTGGGTTAAGACCTTGCTACTCAAAGTATGACCAGTAGTAGAGGAGCCATCAGGACCCGCTCTGTTAGACAAGCAGAATCTCAGGCTGCACTCCAGAACTACTGAATCAGGAGCTGCATGTTACAAGATACCCTAGGTGATTCGTGCACATATTAACATTTGAGAAGCACTAGGCTAAGAGATTCAGGCTTTAAAGGCCAGAGAGAATACCCCCTGCTTTGAGTCAGTTGCTTTGGATCCTCGCCCTGGTTCTGTGGAGGGATGAAATCGCCATTATCTCCTTGGCCTTGAGTTCTCCACTCACAAATTACAACCTGTCTCAATTGGTGGTCGGGGGACAGGCTGGGATAATGGAAGAGGCTGTGTTTGGGAGGTAAAGGCACTTAGATAAATGAGAGAAATGATGGCTATTCATCCATCGAGTGGTCCCCAAGGGGCAGGACTGAGACAACGCTGTTCTCAATTACCCAGCATCTCCTCCTTGCTGCTCTGTAGTTACACAATCTGGATGATTATTCAGAGCAGCTGAGACCTTTCAGACTTTGATAGTGCTGAGCAGCGGTTCTACAGCAGGGGTTATTTGAATACTGATGCCCACCCCTCCCATCCAATTGCGGCAGAGCTCTCAGCTGCACCCAGACTGACCACCCTTCGGTCATCACAGAAAGACCCAAGTGCAAATTATGTTATGAAAACTCAATCTGTATACATTTGGACCATAAAGCGTGGAGGTTTTATGTGGGGCATAAAAATGTTCTTTAATGGGACAGAAACTGCAAACCACAGTTTTATTACATCCCATAAAAGCCGAAAGGGTTATAATCTCATAGGCAGTGCAGATGGTAGGTTGCTATTATGTTTCTCTGTGCTGTTGTTAATCAAGGAGTGACTGACTCAAGGGTATATACTGAACAGATCATGATACTACAATTGAAGTGATAATCTATGTTGGGAAGAAATATGTGCTGTGCCAGACATGTGACAGCTTTGACATTCTCTTTTCTGGGCAGTCCCAATGTTTCCTGCACCTTTTATACCCAGCTCTGATGTTTTCCTCCACTGACATGCCCTTGGTGCCCATGTGGCTCTGTTTGCAAAAGAGAATGATGATAATTATCCAGATTCTTGGCAGGAGCCTCTGCTTACCTGTCCATTCTCACTTGCTTGACTCTCTGACAATTCATAGGGAGGAGGCACGAAATACATTTTGGCTCTTGGGAAGCCAGGAATTATGTTGCTAAGCTGAAATCCAAACATCACAAGCCAGCTTTTCACATCTATGGTGGAAACAAAAATAAAGATTTCTGAAATCATGAAGGATAGAAGGTAGCAGCAGATCTTCGAGAGAAAACAAAATAAAATGGGTGATTTGGGTGTGGGGTCCAACTCGGTCAGTGGATAACCACCATGCCATGTAGTGACTAAGGCGGCCAGCACTGGAGTAAGAGAGATCTAGCTTCAAATCCCCTTGCTGCATGACCTTGGGCAAGTTCCTGCTCTTCTGTAAGCCTCAGGTCCCTCAGATGTGAATTGGGTTCATAACTGTCCCAATCTCATTGGGTTTCTGTGAGGATCAAAGGAGAAGATCTATGTGAAGGACGTATCACAGTGCCTGGCATGTGGACTGCTCAATAAATATGAGCTTCCTCATTTGGCAAGTATTTAAGGAAGCAACTATTATAGGACAGGCAAGGTGTTAGAAGCTAGATGCGATGCACACCTAGAGGGATAAACTGACGACCGTTAGCACTGTGCTGGACATTTGGGATGGGGGTGCTGTGCCCAGGCTGGATCACCTTGGAAAGGGGTGTCTGAGACCTGGACACAGATGCAGTGCACACAGTTTTCTGGCTTCTGAAACCCATTTCTCCAGGCTTCCTACTCTTCAAAGATAGGCCAAAAGAGGGCACTGCATTCTCAGAGTAAGGCACCCTGCCAGGGGTCAAGATGTGGGAATTATACCACATGCCTCATGTGTCCTGCCCTCTGCTGAATGGCCCAGGTTCTCAGAATAAGACTTCCTCCCCTTGGGCCTCCTGTCCCCCTTCTACAGTGACCAGTAGAGAGTCCTGGGTGTCCATCCCTTGAAACTCTCAAGCCTTCACCAACCCCATCGGCCTGGAGTCCAGCAGGACTAGTCTCATTATATTCCTTATCCATGTTTATAACAGGCACCCCAAGCTCACACCTCACCTCCTGTGCCCATCTCCACCTCTCTGAATACTTCAATGGGTCCCTCTGGAATTCACGTTTGTCATCAGGAAAGCCCACCATGTCTTCAACCTCTTCTCTAATGGTTCCTTTCCCTTCTTCCTCTAACTGAGACTTTCTGTCCCCGAGCACACTGGTCTTCTGCTTATTTTCCTGCAAAAACTGGACCTGGAGGTCCAAGTGCTCGTGGTTGCAGTCATTACCTACGCCTGGGCCACTCATCTGCACTTCTTGAAGCTTTTAGCTTCTGCTCCACTGTCATCTCTCCATCTCTCTTCCTGACTGATTTGTTAGTGATTTCATTATACGGATAGTTGATCCTGCCAACATCCTGGCCTCTTAGTTCCTGGATCTCCTCTCCATTGAGGATCTTTCCTCCACCCACTCTTATGTCCACACTCTGGACCTTGTCATCACCAATAATTTTGATCCCTCCATTATCTCAATTTTATACAGATCACCCTCTGACCACTGCCTCGACTCTTTCTAGCTTATTCCTTCTTGTGTAACCTGACACCCACGATCCTTTAATCTCTCCTTTTTCACCCCCAGGACCTTCAATCCATCCTAAACTCCTTTTCCCTGTCTCTCAACATCTTGGTCTTTCTTCTCTTCTTGCCTAGCACACATTCCATGGCCAGTCACTGGAATCATTCCCTTGGGTATATTCTCAGACCCCCCTTGCCCTTTATCACACATGTTTGGTGAAATCACAATGTTGATTACATCTAAGTCTTTGCTTAGTCCATGTCTGTACCTGTGCAGCTGAATTCAGCTGGAGAAAAAAAATCACAGCCATGCCGATGAGAGTCACTTCACACTCCTGACTACAAACCTCCAGCGTGCCTTCCTGCTGCCCGGCATCTTACTACATCCCCTCATCCCCTTCAGTTGTTCTCTCATTCTCCTGGATGACTCTGCTTCTCATCTCTCCACACCCCCCAGCACCCGCTTTCTCTTCCTCCCTGTAGCACCTGACCTTGTTTCCTCTTCTCCTAAGAAAACTGATGCAGCCAGAGGAAAGTTTTCCTGAACTCTCAACGCATTTGTGGATGGTAATGTGACAACCAGCCTCTAAACCCATGTTCCTGCCTTCTTCCTGTTGCTATAGGTGAGCTGTTCAAGTTCAACCCCCCACTTGTCCACCAGGTCACATCCTTTCTTGCCTTCAAGGACACCACTCCAACAATCTCGTCAGTTCACTCCCACATCATCGATCCACTCTCTTCCAATAGATCCACCCCATCAGCACAAAAACATGCTGCTAAATATCCCATCTTTAAAAAAATTCATCTTGTCCCAACTTCTCCCTTTGGCTACCACCCATTTCTCATTCCCCTTTACAAAAACTTTTCAGACTCAAACTAGTTCTCTATACTCGTTTTCTCACATTCTTCTCCACCATTCTCCTTTGGCTCAGGCTTTTGCCCCTCTACGCCACTGAAGCAACCCTGGTCAAGGTCAGGAATGACCTCCATGTTGATCTTGGCTCTCTTCATTTCATCTATCCCAAGTATTTGACAAACGCAATGCTTCTGCCATTCTTGTTTTCTTGGCTTTCTAGATAACACTTCTCTCGTCTTTCCTTCTCCTACGTTAGTAGCTGCTCCTTGTCTGTTTTTGGTTCTTCCTCATTTACCTGATCTGTTAATGTTGGAATGCCCCATTCTCCTGTACTCCATCTGCGCTCATGAACGTGGTGATGTCATCCAGCCCCAGGAACCATCTACATGCTGATGCTGACTCCAAAATGTGTATCTCCAGCCTGGACCTCTCTCTGAACTTGGAACTTGTATATCTAATTATACTTTGAATTCAACACATCCAAAACTGAACTGATCTTCCTCCCCAAGCCTGCCCCACCCATGGTGTTTCCATCTCATATAATGGCAGTTCCGTCCTCCCAGCCATCGTCCTTGACTCCTTTCTTTTTCTCACTCCCCACGTCTAATCCATCCATAAGTCCTTTCATTTTTAAGAATGGAAGTAAGATTCACATAACATAAAAGTCACCATTTTAAGGTTCACAATTCTGTGGTTTCTGGCACATTCACAGTGTTGTGCAACCATCAGCACTAATCCCAGAACACTTTCATCACCCCAAGCAGAATCCTCCTACCCACTATTAATCACTCTGCACTCTCCTTTCCCCATAGTCCCTGACAACTATTGAATTGCTATCTCTGTGGATATGTGGATTCTGGACATTTCGTGTAAATGGATTCAAACAACATGTGGCCTTTTGTATCTGGCTTCCTTCACTTAGCATAATGTTTTCAAGGTTCATCCATGTTGCAGCATGTGTCAGATGACCTTCCTTTTTATGGCTGTGTAATATTCCATTGTATGGATAGACCACATCTTGTTAACTCATCAGATGATGGACATTTGGGTTGTTTACACTTTTTTACTATGACAAGCAATGCTTTTATGAACATTCATGTACACATTTTCGTTTGAAAACCTGTTTTCAATTTTCTTGCTATTATACCTAGGTGTGGAATTGCTGGACCATATGGCTAAATCCTTGATTGACTTTTAAAACTGATCCAGAATATGTGTCCACTTCTTGCCACTTCCACCACCTCTACCCTGGTCCATCACTCTTGCCTGGACTTCTGACTGGCCTCCCATTTCCACCCTGTGCCCCACATACCTCATCACCAGAGCAGCCAGAACGTGCCTTTAGACATGGAACAGATGATGCTGTTTCTCTGCTCAGAACACTCCACTGACTCCCCCGTTCTCTCAATGAAAAAGCCAATGTCCTTCTCATGGCCTCTGAGGACCCGCCCCATGGTTTCTCTGACCTCATCTCCCACTCTCCCTGCTGCTCATTCAGCTCCAGCCTCTGTGCTATTTCTAGAATGTGCCAGACATACACTCATCTCAGGGTCTTCACTCTGGCAAGCCCCTCTGCCCAGCAGGCTCTTTCCTAAAAGTCTTCCTGCCTGTCCTCCTCTATCACCTCTTTTGTCTTGCTCAAATGCTGCCTCCCCAGTAAGGCCAACCCCAACTAGCACATTGAAAATCCATCTCCCATTCCCACCCACAGCAATTCCTAGTCCCCTTACCCTGCTTGTCTTTTCTCCCAAAACAATAATCACATTCTAACATGCTGTGTCATTTGCATATTTATTCTATTTATCGTTTATTGTCTGTCTCCCTCACTCAGAATGCAAGTTCCACCAGGACAGAGACTTTTAGGACTAGTTTTATTCACTGATGTCTCCCTAGCTCTGCAGCAACACCTGGCACAAAATAGGTGCTCAGTGAGTACCTGCAGAATAAATGAATGAACCAACTCTGAACATATGTAGCAAAAGCTAACTTGACTAGTGCGTGACAGAGGATCTATCTGTATAGGTTGAGCATCCCTAATTTGAAAATCTAAAATCCAAAATGCTCCAAATTCTGGAACTTTTTGAGCACCAACATAATGCTCATTGGAGCATTTTAGATTTCTGATTTTCAGATTAGGGATGGTGAACCAGTATGTATTCTGCAAATACATTCCACAAATCTAAAAAAAAATCCAAAATTGGAAACATTTCTGGTTCCAAGCATTTTTTCCTTTTTCTTTTAAAAAATTTATTTATATATGTGTGTATATATATTTATTTTTTTAAATATATATTTTAATTTATATATATGGGGTACAGAGTTGACTATAAGTATTTGTGTACAGTATGTGATGATCAAATCAATATTATTAGCATGTTCATCATTACAAATCATAATTCCCTTTGTGTCCCTTATTCAGTTACTTCCTATCCCCCCCACCCCATTTCCCACCTCTAGTAACTATAGATTTGTTCTCTCCTTCTGAAAATTCAAGCATCTTGGAAAAGGGATACTCAACCTGTGCCTGCCTAAGAACACACTTCTGAAGGGGCTAAGGTATAATTACCTCCTGCCCTGGAACTGTTGTGAGGGGTTTCATGTTGACTTTGCTACCAAACATATAGGTATGTAAGAACCCTCTAATGAGGAGAAATCTGGAATCCATGATCCATCCATCTTTCATGGGCACAGACTAATTCCTTGAATAACTTGGCAACTACAC